CCATCTCTAAATATAAGTGGAGACATAGCCTGAAATGGCTATGACTCCTTCTTTAATAACTTCCCATTCCTTTTATCAGGTGACCCATTGATCAGTTTAAGCAAGTCATCAAAGTTCCCAGGTGACCAAGTGATCTAGATCTTCGTACTGGAGTTCAAACAAGAAAGGTTGGTTTGCCCTGGCTGGTAAACATGCACTGTCCTAAGATACTCCATTTGAGTAGAAGACTAGCACAGTTTAATGACCCTCCATTGTTAGTAAGGTAAAATAAGTTATCCTCTTCTGTGGCATTTAGCCTAATCTGGAGACAAAAGACAAAGGCAACCCGCACTGTCAAACCCACGTCTGCATCATTCAGATCTCCTTCCTTATTATCCCCCACGGGTGAACTATCAGGACAAAGTTCATTGGCATCCCTGAATATGCTTTTGCCATTCCAATACTTCCGATTGGTTGAGGCAGCCTTGGAGAGACTGGCTTCCTGCACAATGGATCATATTACTGTACTTATAATTTGAGCAGTGGTCCACCTCCTAGAGTGAGGTAGAATTGCCCCATTTTCCTTCAAATTATAGTCACATCTTCCCACCTGCTGAAGAAAAGTGGGCATATCTACACGAGTTGCTTACTATGCATTAGCCTAATAACACTGTGCAGTAGCATGGCAGCAAAAAATCATGCTAAAGGCCTACTGAGCAGTGTTATTAGGCTAATGCACAGTAAGTGTCATGAAAAAAATGTGCATCTGCGCTACTGCACAGTAATTCTAGTTACTATCCATTCAATTAGTACTTCACTGAGGAAGTACTAAACTAAATGTGCAATAACTAGGGCACATTTTCTATCCATTTCCTCTTCATTTCCTCAGTTGCTTTGAATTTATAACCAGGTCTCCAGCTCCTGGCTGGTACCCTGAGTCTGACAGTACTCTACCAAAACAGTTTCCCTCCTTCAAAAATATTTCTGATTCACTGCATCATGCAGCTGTGACTCAATTTTCCCTTCTTCCAAGGGGATTTGGATTCCCAGCATACTTCAGCTGTGCTGTTTCCCCCAGTTTCAGCGGGAGTTTTGACTGCAGAAACGGTTTCTCTGTTAAGGGGAGAAGGAATGCCTGCCCTTAGCCACAAGGATTGGTCTAAGCAGGTTTTCAGTTGAGCCTTTTGGGTTTAACCTTGTTGGGCGCATCCCCACGAGGTCACATATATGCTTTGCAGTGCCTCAAAGCACTAATTTGCAGCATGGTTGGTTTTTTTGACACTGGGACATTCCAGTGTAAAAAAAAACAATGCAAAAAAACCCAGTGTGGTGCACATGGGCTGCCAGAAACCAGAGCCTATTTGTCCCCAGGCACACCCCTGCACATGCACTCATATGTGTGCTGTTTGTCCCATGGGAAATGCGCACCCCTGCATGTGTGCACCCGTTGTGTCTTTTCTGAATAGTATACCAAAATAAATATTCTACCAAACTTAACTGATGTATCATTTCAAGCTAGAAGCAGCAGAAGACTGACTTATTGCTGACAATGGTTGTCATCAGTGTATTCCCAAGAAATAATGATGAAAATAGTTTAACTGTTAATGGTTTAGCCTTGTCCACAATTTCAGAGCACTGCAGAAAGCATATCAAACTCACTTCAGGGGGACTCATTGCAGAAAGCCTTTGTCAGCAACAGATAATTTCTTACTCTAGACAGGAGTTTACTGCAGAAAATACGGGAGTAAATTCTGTGAGTTATGAAAGTGAGGGGGTTGATTGCACTGGTTAGATCAAAGAGTCAGGCAGGTGGGTACAATGGAAATCTCCCCCCACCCAGAAGACCTGTTAATGCATCATAAATCTTGATTTGTAATACCATAGCTTAGCTAATCTTGGAATTCTTTTCAGCTGTAACTGAGAGCTGTATAATTGTTGAGTAGGCTAGGATCCCAAAGAACCAGTGTTCAAACTAAGAGGAACACAAATTTTTAGAAAAAGGAATTTGTTTATTATATCTAGGGAGGGAATAGAAATTTACGGCAGGTTCATCCTATTCACCATGGATGGAATTCTGTTTTCCTTTGTGCAAAGACAAATGGCATTTTTTTGGTTGCATAGTTGGCATTTTTCTACTTCTGCATAGAGATCAAGTCTGTTACCCCTGCAGTGAGGACATGTAAACAGTCATATATAGGCTGAGCATGCACAGTAGGCTATTCACTGGCCAGGTACATACTTGCACACCTGAGTATAAATCCTAGAAAAAGCACAAGGAATGACAGCTCTCCTAGGTTTTAGCCCCAGTAGCTAAATTCCCTACTGCACTGCTCTCAGTCTAATGACTATTCAACACAAGGCAGTGGGCTCAGCTTCAAAAGGAGCACTGGTTCTGGTCAAAGCCTAAGCTGTAACATGATGGTTAAAGTTTTGCGTTAGGAAGTCAGAGAGGTGTTGGGTTCCTGACACATGTTCATTTGAAGGAGTTATGATGGGACCATAGCATCTGATGAAAGAAGCTGATGTTTACGAAGGTTTATGAATCTCTGGTTTAGTCTATAAGGTGCAAATCTATCCTGCCTTCTACCTTAGCTTCTCCGTACACGGGGACAGAATGGACACTCAAAGCAGTTATCACAAATCAGCTGATATGTGATAAGTGCTCCCCATTTAAGTCAGTATAATTTGTTCGTCTGTCACCACCCTGAGAGACTTAAAAAGCTCAATCTGTTTAGCTTATTAAAAAGACGGCTGAGAGATGACTTGATTACAGTGCATAAGTACCATCACAGGAAGAAAATACCCAGTACTATTGGGCTCTTTATTCAAGCATACACAGGCTTAACAAGAACCAATGGCTGGAAGTTGAAGCCAGACAAATTCAAATTAGAAATGGCACAAACTTTTAGCAGTGAGGGCGATTAACCATCGGAACAAACAGAAGGGAAGTGGTAGATTCTCCACCTCTTGATGTCTTCAAATCAAGATGGATGCCTCTCTGGAGAATGTGATTTAGTCAAACACAAGTTCTTCTGAGTGAAATTTAATGGCCTGCAATATATAGGAGGTTGACTAGATGATCGTCTTTAGCCTGGAACTTAGGAATCTATGAATTACTCTCTATATGTTTTATGCTTGGCAGTAGTGGGAGACTGTGAGGACTTCCCGTGGTTATTGCATTTTTTCCTGGAATCCTTTGGTTTTGGTTAGAGTCAGAAACAGGTTAGTAGGAATGAAGCAGCTGGGCACAGACAATTCTGTTTTCCACTATCTCACATAGGAGATATTTACAGCAGATGTTCATACAGATTTGTCTTGGGTTGTTTGCTCTGGAAAAAATACTGAATATACCTGCAGGTTGAAAGTTTGCCTTGCGATTTCTCTCTAATCGTCACAGAAATTTCATGGTCACCACAGCCCTGCAGTATTTTAGATAAATAATTCTAATAGTTCTCACGCAGCTCTGGAGCTCAGGGGCTGTGTTGCTGCCTCTGCTCAACCCCTCTTTTCCCCTGCTGTTGAATTTGGGAGGGGAGGCAGGGATGGAAGGAAGAATGAACAGTAGTTACACTCACCCTCTGGGCTCTGCAGCTTTGAGCAGATCCTGCACCAGTCAGCTGGTGAGCTCACAGCGCTCACTGCACATGCAGAACTTCTCACCATAGGTCCTTCTAGATGCTGGTGAGCTCAGAGAGTTCCCTGGCATCCAAGATCATGGGGAGGGGTCGTGGCCACACCTCTGTTAGCAGTGTGGTACTTGCACGGTGAGTTCTCTTTACTGCAAATGTGCCACATGGCCAAGGTAGAAGCCTTGCTGCAATTCAGGATCTAATCGTGAATTGTACTACATGTCTTTTTTCTGTTCTTTATTATAACTTGCCAAAGATACTTTGATAGAACTCTGTTTGTTTGGGAAATGTGTTTCCATCAAAATCAAAATACATTGTGACACTAGGCCAATTTCTCTGTAATTTCTTTTTAAAAGAAAGATGCCAAATGGATTTCTGTCAATGCTGAAAGGTCTCATTTGGTTTTTTTCAGACTGAATATTTCAATTTTGCATCTTGAAACACCTTTTTGATCATTCTTCTATTTTACATTATTATTATAATACACATTTAAAGGTGTAAAACATTAAAGTTTAGACTTTGTTGAAACAAAACACTTTGATTGATCCGAACTTATTTTTTTTTCTTCAGAATTGTCCTTTGCAGAGAATTTTTTAAATCTGGAACAAAGTCAAATCTTGCAATCCTATGAGTAATAGAAATTCTGTTGTCCACATAGCTTCATTATTTACCCATTCTGTTCTCTACATTTCCTTCTCTCTGTTGCTTGAAGGTGCTATAATCTACTGTCTGCTTCTAGGCTGCTTGTACGCGCCACAGGGGTTTACTTTGGTTTAATTCTCCCTAAACTGAAGCGGTGGGTTTTTAAAAACACTGCTTCAATTTAGGGAGAATTAAACCAAAGTAAACCCCTGTGGCATGTACACAAGGGTCAGGCCCAATCCTTACCTGCTTCTCTGGGGACCTGAACTGCCAGCAGGCTGAGTGGTCCCTGAACTGCGGGGAGGCTGGTTCTTCCCTCTGCTGGGGCGGTGGTGGCCCCCAGACAGCACCTGCCTGCAGGCACCTGGCCTGGGCGGTCCCAGGGACACCACAGCCGCGGAGGGAAGCACTGGGCCCCAGCACAGCTCAGGCAGGCAGGCAGAATCCAGGGAGGAAAAAAAATTAAAAGATCAGGCTTGCTGCTTTTTTTTTTCTTCAGTGGAGCCTGCCTGCATGGGCTGCCTGCACAGGCTGCCTGCACAGTCCCTGAGCTGCACAGGGCCCAGCGCTTCCCTCTGTAGCTGCTGCACATTGTTAGGTAGCAAACTAAAACACCTCAGAGGTGTTTTATTTTGCTACATCCCGAAATCATTTAAAGAGTAATATGCCGCTGACATTGTAAACTACAATGCCATTAAAGCGGTGCAAAGGGGCATTTAAGCCGCTTTAAAGGCCAATTTTGTGGTTTGTACAAAGGCCCCTAGTCTCCAATAACACTTCTCTTCCTTCTCACTTAACAATCCCATCTCTTTTCTGCCAGAAGTCAGACTTGTTTCTCTTATTCTAGGACTTCTCCCATTATTCCTTGTTTTATCTTCCCTTCTTGATTAGGTTTCTATTTACTGGTTCCTAAATATGCTTCCCTTCTGGCTCTGGAATGGGAGGTTGTTGCTATCACTGACATTTGAGAAAAATGAAACCACATTATGCTCCTTTCTTTTTCTGTAGGACAAGCTGCTGGTGCTAGCAAGGGTTGTTCTGAGAAGTACTCTCTATTCTTCTGGTCTCCCCAACTTTTGCTGGCTCTTTGCAGCTGAGTGGTGTCATCCAATATACTTCTTTCCCTTTGTAGCTAGAGCCTTCACTGTCAATCCAGTAACTGAAAGGCTCAGTTGGCAGCTGAATTAGAGATGAATGTTCTCATACATTGAGGAACTGTAATGGCTGGAAGTAGAGCTAGTTGAAGAAAAGTAAATGTTAAAATGTTAAGGCAATTTCCCCTCAGATTTGTTGGATTTCTAAATTTTTTCCATTTCATTTTTTTTAATTGTCAAAATACCAATTTCTTTTATCAAAAAAAAAATCAGGTTGTTTTTATGAGTTATTTTTGAAAGGCAAATAATGATATCTTGAAAATGAAAACTAAACAATGAACTAATATTTTATGCATTAAGAAACATTCTGATAGGCCAGCCTTAATCTTTTTGCATTCAATGGGAATGGATTAATGCCTGCTATAAATAAAGTAACAGTTTCCAGTAAAACGACAAATCTCACAGATTTTGTCATTCTGGAGTTGTAAATTGAAAACTTGGCTAGTAGTTAAGTACTTAAAAACCACTAACGATATCTAGATCTTACTGAGTTTTCTTTGGGTCTCAGTAGTTTTCAAAAGATAGAGTTAGATAAGTTTAGCTTTCAGGAATGTAAAATTAGATATAAAATTGAAAATAGCTCTAGTACCATATTTAATATGTTAGTTATATTTACCAGCACATTTAAAAATGCATACAGCAACTTTTCTGTTAGATTGTCAGGAACTGAGGAACTTAAGCATTGCAAAAAAGAGTGTATTACAATGGAAACATTTATAATGCACTTCAGTAGTCCTGAGAAGCCAATATATTGTGCTTTTAACTAGCCTTGCATCAAAGGGCCTAGTAGTCAATGTATAATGCATTCATTTAAATCATAATCACAGTGAAAGTATTTCTCTCTTTTTCAATTAAATGTATTCAAATTATTATGAGTTTCTTCAGAAAGAGCCCTATGGAAGTTGGTAGGCCTCAAATTTTATTTCTTCATTTAAAATGTTACATTTCCTTTTCTGCTGAACTTCCGAAACCTTCAATATATTTTTTGTCATAAAAAAACCTGGATATTTTTAACACATTATCAACCCAAGAGAAAAATTCTACCACCTCTGGATGATCTTACAAAATTAAAACTATTCCATGGTTCACTCTACTTGCAATAACATGATGGTTATGTGCATGCCCATAGCACTTATACCTAGTGGAATAAGTCAGGAAGGAAGCCATATAAACATACTCCCTAGGAACAAAAGGCACTTTTACATACGCTCCAGGCGTGAGGGGGGGGCCGTGCTTTAATTAAAGCAACTCTGAGAGCCAATATAATTAAAGTGCTGCTGCATCTCCTGTATCAGCATCCCCATGCTTAAAAATGGCAGTGGGGACACTTGAACTAAAGCTTACTCAATGAGCTTTGAGTTCAAGCACCCCTGCTGCTGTTTTTAAGTGTGGAGACACCGATACATGAGGCACAGCAATTGCCACACTCCAGCAGATTTGATTAATGGCGTCCACTCTGATGCGCTGGAATTCCAACGCATCAAAGCACCCTACGCTCTCGTGTATAGGCACCCAAAGAGTAGTTACCTGTATTAGTCTGAAGTCAGGCAGAAGGCAGGGTAGAGATGTACCTTATAGACTAAATGAATCAGAGATGCATAAGCTTCATGAGTAAGCAGCTGATGAAGTGAGTTCTTACATACATGAACCTCTGATTCAGTTAGTCTGTACGATGCATCTCTACCCTGCCTTCTGCCTGACTTCAGACTAACATGGCTAACCTCCTCTCTTTGTTCCTAGTGGGCATGTTTATATGGCTTCCCTCCATTGCCAACAAAACAACAGGTCCACCACCAACAGAACAAATTCCATTTGCACCTACTGAGCACACGAGAGACTGGCAATTATACTAAGCAGACAGCTTGGAACAACCCTGAGTATGCATAGCAAGGCCATACTCAAGTCTTTCTGGTTTGGGAGAGCCCAAGAGTGGTACCTGGCAGGGAGAGCTTAGGTCCACACTGCCTCTCTAGTCTGCTTGTGAGCCATTTACTCTGCTTACTGCATGATCTTCGGTGGGCCTCCATGACAGCTAGTGGGTAACACTTATTTAGTTAGCAGTAAACTCAGGATCAGGAGGGCAACCATATGGACATGCCCAATGTGTTTGACTGTTCCACACTTAGCAACAACACATAAATCAAAAATTTCCCAAGGCCCTCCTACTCTTGAAAGAGCCAAGCAGTCAAGCACAATGAACTGTGAAAGAGCATATCTGCAGTTTGAAACAGAATGGGTGACTCACACTCTTGACCTACCTCCACTAGCAGGTCTAGCAGTAGTCATTAGGGCCTAACTGTAGAGATGCTGAGTACCAGTAGTTCCCATTGCCTACAGGTAGAGTTGTGGCCAATAACTCTGAAATGTAAATGACCTTAATCTACAAGCTGTATTTGGAGGTGAATAGAAATCCAGAGAACAATCTTCCTGAGTTTTTATTACATGGGACAGGCAAGATACATTTGTCCTGACAATTACATTTTATCCTGCTTATTATTGCACAAAACACAAAGATCCCTTAATTCTCTCTCAGCAATCACTCAAACTCTGATTCTGTTCCTTGATACACTGTCATATCTATGCCTATTTAATCACATTTCATTTCATACTGTACCTCCTCCAACATCACTTCTCTACATAAGTCAACTCAAGGTTCACTTGCTGGAGTCTAGAGGAAGAGCTAGAGAGAGGATGGTACAAACCAGAGTTAATCTACCAGGACATACAGAATGCCCAGCAAAGTCCTGAAACTTCTCTTGGGAGAGACTAAGAGTAACTCTGAGGCTCATGATCAGGACCACTCTAAGCCACTGATGCTGCCTAATTCCTGGGCTTGATCACATGCAGAGCAGGAGAGAATGGACGTGGCTTATTTCCTCAGTGGTAGGCAGGTGGTGCAAGCATGACCATCATGTGAAAACCCATGTTCCATAGCAATCAGCAACAGGAATAACTGTGAACATGGTGTATGTTTCACCTACTGATTTCCAATCCTGCTTTCTCCTGACTTACTACTCTTCATCACAGGGTTTCTTTTATCCCTTTCCTCAATGAAAAATTTAAGCAACTTGCAACATTCCACCTTGGGCACCGTACTTCAAGAGGGATGTGGATAACTTTGAAAGGATTCAGAGGAGGGCCACTCATATGGTAAGAGGCCTGAAGACAAGGCCCTACAAGAGATTGAGGGACCTGATTCTCTTTAGCCTCTGCAAGAGAAGGCTGAGAGGTGATTTTGAGGCCATCTACAAATTCATCTGGGGGGACAACAAAGGATAGGAGATGCCCTGTTTACCAGGGCACCCCTTGGAGCAACTAGAAATAGCAGCCCTAATATCTATGAATCTATGAATTTTTGAAAGAAGAAAAGTAGTTCACAGTAGTTCATAACTTAAAGCCTGTTTTAATTAGGGAATCTCATTTCGTTATATCCTTCTGATTCAGCAACATCAAAAGAAGATGTCCTGAACAGAGGTTTGTTTTAAAATTGCTTTTACAATCCAAATCTTCAGGAATTCAGCCATTTGCATGGGATCATATAGGACAGCAGAGCTCTTAACATTGAGCTAGTATGAAACTAAACCTAAGCCTAGTTACATTTACCTTCCCACTGCTAATAGCTGTCTTCACCTGGACTCTGTGTTTCCTAATACTATCTGATCATGATTATGACATTTCTCCTTTTTCTGGACTTTTACATCATTATTAGCTAAATTATAGCATACTGCACCTGATAGACTACTTTTTGCTGGAGGACAAACTGTTTCCTACTGACTTCCTATCTCCAGATACATTTCAGTTTCATCCTATTGGCTTTCAGACTTCCCATGGATGTGTCATGGGGCTGCATATAATCTACTCATCATCCTTTTGAATCTTGGCCTAGTAGAATCAGCCTAAATCTAGAGACCCCTAATTTGTATGTCGTGGTCTAAGTTTTACCACTGCCTCATTGTTTACATTTGGCAACCCACTGAACCTCTCTGCATCAGAAGGTGCAGATAAAAGTGTAGCAGGAAGTACTATGAGTTACAGAGATCTCCTGGACCCAACAGATATTTGTTGTTGGGTACCAGAGGTTGGGAGATTCAGCTGCAATTTGGAATGGCTGTGAGTCTGCAGCCACTTTCCCCTCCCCCTCCCCTCCTATCTCTAGCACTATTTTCAGAATGGGAGAGGGGGAAGGGAACAGAGGGAATTCAGTCTGCAGTTTTTTCAGCCAGGGCTGGAGAGTGGGGCAGGTGGATTGGAGCCCCCACACCTTTGGGCTGTTGGGTCCTGGGGTTTAGGGGATCAAGCTCCTCCATCACTGGTTGAAAAAAACCCAAACCAAATCTGTCCAACTCCCTTCCCCCCTCCTATTCTGAAGACAGCACCAGAAACAGGGCTGAGCTGTGTCAGCCTAGCCCTGCTCCTGGTGTGCACAGACAGACGTTAATGAAGGCACTCCATTTTGGAGTGTCTTCATCTGAACCCTCATGCAATGATGACTCAGATTGTCATGGGATCAGTCCCTTTTAAAATGCTTTGCAGCCACGCACTTGTGTTTGGTCATGGCTATAGAGCACTTTCAGGGGCCAAATTGAGCGAAAATTATCACTTCTGTCTGCGCCCTCAATTTCATCATCAGTTAAACATGGATAAGACTACTTACTACCAGCATCTCAGAAAGGATTAGCTAGTTGCTACTGAGAGAGCATTTTGGAGATGTAAATCATTGTACATATGGTTATTCATCTCTTCTGTTTCACACTTCCATTTCACTGTGCTTTGGGGGGGAGACTTTTGCTTGTGCTACCCATCTGTCTGAGATTCATCTCCTTTGATTTGAGTTTCTCTGTTTTAACTTACACTGGGTATAAGTCTACAAGTCTACACATGATGCTATGTTGCCAAAGTAACACACTACGGTGACATAGCTTATTGCTATGGCGACATAGCATCTTTGGGCACAAACCATGATGCCAACGCTATGTCGCCATAGTGATGAGCTACCTCACTATAGCACATTGCTACGATGACATAGCTGCTAAAAATAACTGTTCACTGCTGGGATGACGCAGTAACGGCTGTTACTGTGCC